AGCCATTTAGAAGCGAGAAATAAAAGCTGTTTCTAAAAGACTAATGGTTAGAACAAAAAGTATTTTTAACATGGAAAATATTATTTCGGTCGTGTCATGGATCGTAGTTAGGACACTGTGTTAGCTTGATAGTCAGGCACGCTTGGTCTGGTTGGTGTTGTCAATCTGGCAACCTGCATTTGCGTGGAGTTATCAGAGGGGAGGCTGGGTAAAAAAGTAATTTTAATTAGGAGTACAATACCAAAGACTATAGAATACATAATACATGTCACTTGTATAATTTTGAATAAGGAAACGTGTAACTGTCAATATTGGGAATGAAGCTCTGCCTTCTAGTACTGGAGCCAATCAGCGATCGCTATATGGCAAATAAAGCTCTGATTCAAGTACAATAGCCAATCAGTGATCACTATATTGACAATTCTCCAAGGGAGGGGCTCAGACCAGACATGAGTTTTACTGGTTATTCGTAATCTTGGCAAGGAGTTTTGTAGAATTTGATGTTTTCCCATTCAAACAGAATGCCTGAGCATACTGCCCGAAAGGCGTTTTAAAGATGGCCGCCGAGTGAAATAACTTGCCTTAAAGGCACTTTGACAGTACCTATTTCAACTATTGGGTGTCAATCTTAAATATTGCACCTTTAAATTTGACCATTTTTTTATTGCATTTGCTGAAGATAATTTGGTTTAACTTGTATGTAAATTCCTAATGGGAATTATAGCCTTCCAAATGAGTGAAATCAATTATGGCTGCCATGTTAAGGTGTCATTCTAAACCAAATAGCTCAAGACTGCCACTTTGAAGGGCCATACAGAAAGTTTGATTTCAAAGCGGTAAAAATTGACACTTCGGGTGTCAGACAGCACTTTGCATTTACAAGGGCTCATCCCTATGCCCTAATCTAACACCCTGTATGAAAAGTTTTAAAAAGTTAATTTTTTTATAAGTAGTCAACAAAAAGTTGGGCTGAGAATGGCATAACTTATCAGTGACCTCTGACTCTATCAATACCACCAAAGCTACAACCCCAAATCAGAAAAACTTGGGACAGTATGGAAAACAAAAATAAAAAAAGAAAGTAGTAATATCTAAATTTACTATGACGTGTATTTTATTGCAGACAATATGGCAAACATTATTAAATGTGTTTCTCATGATTTTTTATTGTTCTTTTTTTAAGAACACGTTCCAATTTTGGTTCTTGCAACACATTTCAACAGTAAAGCATTTACTTCTTTGTAATGCTGCCATTCCTTTTCACAACACTTAAAATACATTTAGGGACTGAAGAAACCAAGTGATGAAGTGTTTCAGGTGTAATTTTGTTCCTTTTTTCCTGCAAACAAGTCTTAACTTAGGCAACAGTATGTGGTCTTTGTTGTGGGTTTTTGCACGTTAAAATGCTCCACACATTCTTAATTGGAGGCAGGTCAGGACGGGCAAGCCAGTCAAGTACCTGCATCCTCTTCATCTGCAGCTGGGACTTTGTAATGTGTGCAGAATGTGGTTTCTTGTTGAAATATGCATAAACGTCCCTGGAAAAGAAGGCAGCATGTTGTGTTCCAAAATCTCCATGTACTTTTCAGAATTAATAGCGCCATCACAGAAGCGCAAGTTACCACTGACAAAAGGCCACATCATGACAGACCCTGGCTTTTGTACTTGTTGCTGGCAACAGTCTGGACAATCATTTTCTTATTTGGTCAGAAGCACACAGCGTCCATTTTTCCCAAAAATACCTGAAATACTGATTCCTCTGACCACAGTACACTTTTCCACTGTGTGACAGTCCATCCTAGATGCCTAAGAACACAAATAAGTCATACGCTCTTCAGGACACTGTTAACATAGGGCTTCCTTTTGGCACAGTACAGTTTTAACTGACATTTGTGAATGTACCTAAATATTGTGGTACTTGACAAAGGTTTGCCAAAGTAGTCCGGAGCCTAATTCTTAATGAAGTGCCACATGAGGGATCAGAGATCACACAGCTTCGGTTTGCGCCCCTGTCCTTTACGAGCTGAAATTCCTCCAGATTCCTTAAATCTTTTAATTATGTTTTGCACTGTTGAAGGTGAAATATCCAAACGTCTTCCTGTCTTTCTTTGAGGAACATTGTTTTTAGACATTTCGATCATTTTCTTGTGTGTTTGTTGGCAAACTAGTGATCCTCTGCTCATCTTTGCTCCTAAAAGACTAGACCTTTCTTGGATGCTGCTTTTGTACCAAATCATAATTACAATCACCTGTTGACATCACATGTTTCAAATCACATCATTATTTAACCAATTTACCCGTATTAATAGACCTAAATTATGGGAGACGTGGTGGTTACAGTAGGTTGTGCTTTCCCCTCACAGCAAAAAGGTCGCTGGTTCAAGCCTGGGCTGGGTCAGTTAGCGTTTCGGTGTGGAGTTTGCATGTTCTCCCTACATTCGCATAGATTTCCTTCGGGTGCTCTGGTTTCCCCCACAAGTCTAAAGACATTCGGTACAGGTGAATTGGGTAAGCTAAAACTGTCCTTAGTGTATGTGTGTGAATGAGTGTGTATGGTTGTTTCCCAGTGATCGATTGCAGTTGGAAGGGCATCCGCTGTGTAAAACATATGCTGGAAAAGTTGCCAGTTTCTTTCCGCAGTGGTGACCCCAGATTAATAAAAAAGGGACTAAGCTGAAAAAAAGTGAATGAATACTAGACCTAAATTGCTCCTGTGCCAACTTTTTTTTGGAACGTGTTGCAGATTTGAATGACAGGAAAGGAAGTATGTTTACGAATGAAATGAATATTTTGCGTTCATATTGTCTGCAATGAAATTTAAATCAAAATAAATTTAGAAATCATTACTTTCTTTTTTATTAGCATTTTCCATACTGTCACAACTTTTTCTGATTTGGCGTTGTATTTTATAAGCTACAAATCCAAAGAGAAAAGATTTTGTGGCAAATTATTGCAAGAACCCTGACCTCTGTTGCACTGAGCCAAATCTGTGCAACTAACCTCAAGTAATGATTGTTATAAGACACACCAACACTGACACCAAAAAAACAAAGCCTCTCGTGCAATTTAATGAGCTTGTTGTTTGCAGATTATTTAACAATGGTTTGACTAATCAACAATTTTCCTGCCAAAATGGTCTAAAGATGATCTGCTTTGATATCCACTCAAATCAGTCCAATTTTCAAGAACTGGCGAAAACAAATTAATTTGAAGAAATCAGAAACAAAAGGGTTACGTTATTACAATAAGCATGTTGTCACTAGAGGGAGCAAAATCAGTTCGGCTCAAGTTCACATTTTCTTCTATATTAGTATAAAACTAATGAACAAATAATTGTGACATTTCTTATAAATGTCAAGCCTACAAACAAAAAAATGTAACTAGCGTTGTGTGGAAAATGCACTATAAATACTGACATTCAAAAATTTAAATATTAAAGTCACAGCATATTTCAGATACTAAAACATGTAGCTGTTTACACCTGGTCACAAGTTTTTTCTTATCGGGAAGCTATCTGATCATTAAAAAGATATTAATCATGTCACTCTATCCAATTCAGGAGGTGGCCTGGCATGCATTGTAGAAAAAAACTTGTCTCAGGGCATCTGGTTGTTGAAACCACAAATGTAATTTTTTCTTCTCATAAAATGTAAAAAAAAAATTAAATAAACATGTGATCGAGTGTTATTGGCTTTATTAAATATTCAAATATAACAGCATAAATGCAGCACGCAACACAAAGATGATAGTTTAGGATGTTTGATTTGTTTAATTTTTTTTTATTTTTTTTATCGGCCATTTGTTAATCATCCATTGTCCTGATAAAAACTACAAAATTGCTTATAAAATTCCAGGATTTTAACTTTGTAATTGTCAAATTCATAAATGATGTAACTGATTTGGTGGGGAAAAAAACTCAAAATGACGTATTTTAACATAAAAAGTAATTGTGGACTGGATTTATTTTTATTACCTTTTATCAAAGTCTTTGAGGCATGGTGGCACAGTGGATAGCATGTTCGCCTCACAGCAACCAGGTCGCTGGTTCGAGCCATGGCTGGGTCAGTTGGTGTTTCTATGTATGTGCATGTTCTCCCTGTGTTCCTGTGGGTTTCCTCCGAGTGCTCCAGTTTCCCCCACAAGTCCAAAGACATGCGGTACACTTCTATACAGCTTAAAGTGACATTTAAAGGCGTAAGTAGATTAATTAGGTTAACTAGGCAGGTTAGGGTAATTAAGCAAGTTATTATTTATTGATGGTTTGTTCTGTAGAATATCGAAAATAATATAGTTTAAAGGGGCTAATAATTTTGATCTTAAAATGGCTTTTATTAAATTAAAAACTGCTTTTATTCTAGCCAAAATAAAAATAACAATAAAAAAACATCTTTCTCCAGAAGAAAAAAATATTATTTGACATACTGTGAAAATGTCCTTGCTTTGGTAAACATCATTTGGGAAATATAAAAAAAAAAAATTTAAATTCAAAGGCGGACTAATAATTCTGACTTCAACTGTGTCTGTACGACAAAGATAGATGTTTCATTTAGCGTTTCATTAGCGCTTTGCACTGATATTTTACTGGGACACAGGTGAAGAACAAAGCTTCCTGTAGCCTAAATGCAAAATGATTTGTATCCCTAATAATATATACGGTATAGCTTATGTTTCATATAATGAAATAAAATGCAGTGTATCTGATGCTTTACTAATCATAGCGTAGGTAAATGTGCATATAGTGTGGCGTTTAAAGATTGGAATCATATAATCGACACATTTCTGTAGTCAAATGTAAATATAACCATTTTCCCAAACCAGAAAGCTATTTGATCAGAGAAAATGCACAAAGTGACCAGGTGTAAACAGGTCCAGATTTTGGACAATGCAATACTCATGTTTCGTAAAAGTTGGGCATATTATGAGAATGAGTAAATGTAACAGGATTTTTTTCGAGGTGAACTGTCCCTTTTGCTGATGTTTGCAGAGGACTGGATTATGACCTGATCAGGTGATTTCGGAGGTTTGTGATTGGTCTGGTCAGGTGGTGTTTTCAAGTATCCATCATCATAATTATCCGCCATGAGCTTCATGCGGTTCTGTGTCTAGGAGAAAAGAGGAGGAACAGATGTAAGGAAAGATTGGGAGGGTAAAAACGGATGAAAACATGGGTTGATTTGGGGTCAAGAAAAGATCAATTAAAAGAAGCACATCAATAGACCTTGTTTATATACATAAAAGGTCAGCAGTCAAAACAAAGATGTATTTTGTCTAAGTCTTTTAGGTTTTTCTGCAACTTCTGTTATTGTTGACAGAAATCAGATAAACAAAGTAATCTTGAGCACAGTCAGATCCGCTCGGTGACGCAGGCCGTACCTGCTGTTTGAGCTGCTGCACCAAACGGTCCTTTTCTCTTCGCAGCTGAGCCACTTCTTCCTGTGTTTTCTTCTTTTTAGATGAAGAGAGCTCCAGCAAGGCGATGTTAGCATCCTTCTCACTTATGGCAGCCAGAAGAGCCTCTTGTCTGTGGATTACAGTTGATCAAAGCAGGTTAGAAACATATTATCATTGAGTAAATCTTTAGGATTATAGTAACAAAAAAGAGTTTTGTAAAGATTTGAAAAAAAAAGTGAAAATTTTTAAAGATTTTGAAGATTACTACCACTACTAGAGATATTAATTGAAATCAATCGCTTTTTAAAATGTTGCGATTAGCAAGTTTATTATCGCAAGTGGCTGCGAAATGAATATATTTTTTAAATTTCCCCCACCCAGAGCAAATGCATGACCGTTGTCTGTGTGCAACAGTATTACTAGCCAATCGGTTGAGCACACTTTCTTTCGGCCAGAATTGTGCAACAGAACTTTGCGGAATTCCCACAATAAAAAAACAATCAAACAGGAAAGCGCAGATGAGTGGGATGATGGCGTGTGCTGCTTCAAAAAGATTAATAGTTTTATTAATATCAAAGAAAAACAGTACGTCAGTATTATGTGGGAATATTTTCATTTCAAATGCAAAGACACCGAACAAAAACAGGTAATTGTAAGAGCTGTCACAGAATTTTTTCCAGCATGAGGAAATACAACAACCAGCACCTAAAAAAGTACCACAGGCGGCTATGTAAGGAGTGTGATTGAGCTGAAGCCTAAAGAACCCCTATTATGGGTTTTTGAGAATGACCTTCCATGTAGTGTGTAACACAGCTCTGCGTGAAGTGAAATATCCAGCTAAGGCTTAAATTTGAAAGTGAACAGTGTTTAAAACTATTGATTCGTTTAAAAAAAGATTCGACACATAGTGCTTAAAATCAATCGTTAAAGGAAAATTTAAATCTACGGCCCTGCCCACAAACACTGTAGCAGATCCCGGTTGTATCAAGTCATGAAGATGTTGTGCTCATCTGGATATTACTGGAAGTGTGAGGGAAAGTTAGTGTTATTTTCCATACCCAATGATGAAACTGAAGAGTATGTGATTGAGGATTATTTTTGTAAAAATACCTCAGCATTATAGCCCTAATTTTTCTGAAGAGTGCTTTAGTAATCTACACTTTTACAACGGGGGATTCGTTGGCCATTTGTTAAAGAAAGGATCAGAAAAGACTATTGATGTGTGGGACTTTGTCAGAGCTCGACAGGAACTTTAAAGTAACTTTCACATTTCACGGAACAGTTTCTTCCTCCATTTCAGGTTCAGGTTAGATTCGGGGGTGACGTGACTGATCAACACTGTTAAAAAATCGGGTACTGTGGTGTTAGTAACTACTATGAAGCGTGTTTTGGCCGGCCGATGTGATCGGATCATATATAAATGTTGGCGACCCGGGGTTTTCACAGACTGTACCAAAATGCTGAGGACTAGGGGGGGGGTTGAAATTACGGGAGTTTTCCAGTACAAAATAACAAAACGGGACTGTGGCGGTAGATAGGTACTGGACACTCCTGGGAAAAACAGTGTTGGCAGGTATGCTCACACATACAGTGTGTACTCTGACTACTTGAATATTGTTTATAAGTCGTGGTGGGCATTTAACTCTGTCTCACGCTGAAGGCTGTTGACCAATCGCAAAGGGCGATCATATGGGAGTCGCTGGGATAATTAGGTAAAAATGAATGCATATTATAAGATAATGAAAGTGTTTTTTGACCTTGCATGCATATCAGCCTGTTGTTGGAGACCCTTAAAGGGCACCTAGGTTACCCCACTTTTCAGATTTAATATAAGTGTTTTGCATCTTCAGAATGTGTATGTAAAGTTTCACCTCAAAACACCCATCAGATTTTTCATTATACCTTTTACAAGATCTATTTTTAACATTTTCCACCAGGGGGCCGTTTAGTCGTACTGCACCTTTAAGAATAGTCCGCCCCACCCACCGTTTCTACATGTCTTTCTGCGCGCCTTAATCTTCTCCCTCGGCTGCATCAGACAACAGACTGACAGACTTAGGAAGAAGATCTCACGTAGCGTTTGTGACAAATACTACAGTAAGAACTTTACCAATGAGCATTTGTTGTATAGATGAGTCCCACAAACAATGTCAATGTACAAAGTTCACGCGCGTACACACATACAGACCGACACACACAGACACACACACTGACAGACAGAGCGCGTTTAGCTTTCCACTCTTTTTGCACGCAAATGTGACAGGATACAGGCTACTGCTGTGTGGATATCTGTTATGTTAATGTACAAAACAAACCTGATTTAACGTCCACAAACCGGGATTGAAGCCTCTTCTTTTATAATTGACACGCGGCTGTGCTGATAAAGTAAAGTTGAAGTGAATCACTGTACTTCATTACACACGTGCACTGTTTTGAAACATTTTAAACATGTGGAACTTACACTTCATCACATTTGATGATAATTGATTATCCTAGCGAACTGAACAAACTTTTATTCCCGACTGCTTTGAGCATGTCTGGTCTTGTTGACATGGTTATACACGTGACTACCAGGACATGCTACACAAAGCAATCAATTCGGTGGGTGGGGGGCCACACTCCTACGTCGCGGTTGCAGTCGGTCTGAAAACCGCTCCAATTGGTCCACTATTTTTATGTTGTTAAATTGAAAAAAAAAAAGGACTGTGTGTGTTTATTTCACCCCAATATGACGGTCTATACACTATACCAACACACATGTCTGTCCAAACAGCTTGAAAAGTAGATTTTCACCATAGGTGCCCTTTAAAACCAAAATATGACTCTTTTTAATGTATAATAGGGGTTCTTTAACAAAAACAAAATTATCGCAAATCAAAAAGAAATCACAAAAAAAAAGCAAAAAAAAAAGCAGCCCTACCTACTATTATTATTATTATTATTGTTAAAAAAGTAAATAAATGAAAAATATATATTAAGATATATATTAAGTAATAATGGTATTAAAAAAACAGCAATTATTATTATTATTATTATTATTATTATTATTATTGTCATTATAATTATTATTATTATTATTATTATTGTTGTTGTGAATAAGCCTGACTTTAATGTTATTACTATTTGCACAGATTAAATGCATTCATATTAGGCTAAATATTTATTAATACAACATATTTTTCTAAACTATAATAAATGGCTGAAATTATTAAAAATCTAATTCTAATGTTAAATATTATTGATTTTATTATCACCTGCAGTAAAATTATAGATTTAACACTTTTAATAAAACTGCTTCAAATTAAGTATATAAAAACATTATAAAATAAAATTGCAAAACACTAATAACACTGGTTGAAATAATTTGATTATTTCATTCATTTTTTGTAGTAGTAGTAGTATTATAATTGTTATTAATATTAGCATATGCCTTATATTTTGTACTTTTTTATTATAAAATGTTTGTTTACACGTTATTATTATTATTATTATTATTCATCCATTGTCCTTCAGCTTAGTCCCTCATTTATCAGGGATCGCCGCAGAGGAATGAATCAGCAACTATTCCAGCATATGCCCTTCCAGCTGCAACTCACTACTGGGAAACAATTATACACACTCTTTCAAACATAAACACTATGGACAATTACACAAAAAGTACAAACATACCAATAAAATAATAAATGAAAACGAGCAAAACTACATTTTCAAAACCATAATAAACCTGGTTGAAAGGATTTAAGTCCAATGTCAAACTGCACTTTACAGCAGTACTATGGAAATGCTCTTGAAAGCGGTTGACCTCATTGACAATGACCAGAAGTCTTACAACGCTCAGCAGAGCAGATTAAAGTATGTCTGCATTCACAAGTACAAAACACCTCAGCGGAATATGGATTTTGTCAAAATGATTGTGCATAATAGTCTGAGAAGGCCTGAAATAGCTTGTTTATTCTCAGTTTCTCCACAGACTCCCAAGTGTGCAGACAGAAATAGTGCCACGTGCTGAATGAATCATCCTCCACATTTATTATCTCCATGAAAAAACGTGATACTCAGAACAGAAGGTTTTACAGCCTATTTTTCGACCGCGATGTTTACTCTGTATTAACTGATTTATATCATTAACACTCCGGCTTGCCAAAGCTGACCTCAGAGTGAGATCTAATGGAAAATATGGCTGTTTAATGATTTCAAACTGTGAGCTGTTTATTAAGATCTTGGAAGTTTATTATATAACACAAAGTGTGTCTTGTATGCAAATGGCAGATGCAAAAATATTTAATTTTTAGAGAGGTTCTTACAGGTTAGTGCATCGACACATACACTCTGGTGCTCACAGCGACCTGAGTTTGATTCCCGCCTCGTGGACCTATGCTGATCCCTTTCTTTTCTCTGCTCTCTGTGCTTTCCTGTCAATGCTCTATACCTTCCTGTCCATTAAGGGTGAAAACCCAAAATAATTATTATTAAAAAAAAAATGTCACACCAAAAATCATTCAGTTTTGGACACGTCCAAAAGAGGTGGGTCAGGGAGCCTTCAGCAGACTTACAACGGTCACATGTAAGGGAGATGGTAGGAAAAATACAGTGTAATTTAGAATTTGAGTGGTGCAGTCTATTCATTACTTCAAATTGAACTAACTGATGCCTGCAATTAATAGAACAAGAGCGAATTCTACTGTCTTAATCTATATGCCCAGTTCCTCTTCCTAAGCATTCTTCAAATGAATTGTAGAGTAACTCAGTTCTTGAGAAAACAGCAAAACAAATATCCAAAATCTAAAATCAAATGTTAGGAATCAGATGAGCCCAATAGTAGTACGTAAACTTTTCTTTCATCTGGCGGCGATTCAAAATTGGGTATCGCATGACTTAATTTCTAATCTGTAAATGTCGAAAGAATTGTGTTGTGGGAAAAGAAAACTTCTCTTTTAGTTGAGAAAATGAGGCAAATTTTTTATTAACATGTAAATCCTTTAGGATGACTATAACTTATAAGCCTTCAAATATTGAATGCTGTGTCAGAGATAGAGGGGGGGATGCATGATTATGATATACTGGAATAGAAGTAGTATGAGTCTGGTAAAACGCCATATTTTCTAACAGTTTCAAACAATCAAATTATCA